TAACTTGTAGTGATGCCAGTCAACACAGCCACATGGCGTCGGTCCAGCCTTTCCCCAGCTTTCCATGCCAGCTCAGGTCTCGCCCCTTTCTGGCCCCATCAGCCCTCCTAACTTACTGGTATTTAGGGGAGAAACTGTGTGATATGTCCGGACTGACCAGTCAATAAATGGCCAGGTGTGACTGGAGAAACTAAAGAACTAACCAAGTCTGTGTTCTGGGTCACTGGGAGAGCCCCAAGCTCAAGGCTCTTTTTGTTAGCTGCTCTCTTGGGCGGGACAGCAAGCCATCATGGACCGTGTAGCCAAGGAAAGAAGGTGGTGGAGCATGACCTTGCCAGTCAGCCGAGGCTGCCACAAGCTGGGGCTTTCTTCACTGATGTGTGTTAATAATGTTCCCGTTGCTATGATTGCTCTTTTAGTTAAATGTAATGAATCCCTTCATGTTTGATTGAAAAGTGGCAACGTTTGCTATTTTTGCTTTGCACACATCTAGAGGAGACAATGAAAGAATCCCTATTGATGGGGAGGGGGTGTTAATAGGTCCGATAATGCCTGGACCAAACCCTTTGCGTCTGGTCACAGTGCCAAGGGGATAGTCCCAGAAATGGAGCCACAGCTGCCATTGGAATGCCGGATACTGGCAAATACACCCATGTTTACCCTCACTGACCTTTCACAGAAAACCTTGAGAGTAAGTGCTCCCCAGGCATCTGAACAGCAATATTCCTGCCGACATTAAGTGATAGCAAGCTGGTCTGCAACATTTTTCAGAGAAGCTGGGGAGGGCGGCTGTTCTTGGGGAAGGTGCAGGTCAGCTCTCTGCGACTGAACACCTGACTCCATCTCTCACTAACCTCGGCCAATCTTCAGCTTCTCAGAGCCACAGTTTACTCACCTGTAGAGCAAGCATGGCAAGACTCGGGGAGTCAGAGTAGCCCGTCGCAACTGAAGGCATATAGCCTTTTAGACAAATCTGGATCTGAATACTGTCACTGAGTAACGTTGAGTTACTTAATTTTCCCTGCAGCCATAAAATGATAGTAACAACCCAGTTTGAGAGAGATCTGTTGTGACAACTGGGTAACAGCTTATATAGAGTGTTTATTACAGTACCAGGCACAGAAGGCATATCTAATAAAAGAAAATGGTCTATTAACGCTTACTGGTTTTTTTGCTTACATTTTGCCTACAATATTGCTTACGACTGTACTGAGTGCTTTGCATGACCGATCTTGTCATACCCGCTTTGTCTATCCCTCAAACGACTTTTATGAAGATAAAACAAACTAATATATATTTATCTGCAAATATGAGTGCAGGAAAAGTCCTGAAAAGATATACACCAAAGTGTAGTCGTTATCTCTTATGGCTATGATTAGGGGTGATTTTTTGTTTTCCTTTTGTTTACTTGCCTTTTCAAACTTTTTACAAGCTTCTCTTATGAATGCTTTGGTTTTGTCTTCTTTTTTTATGCCAAAATACTTTAAAAAATGATATTGTTCAGCTGTAACAACCTCCTACCTGAGCCATTCGTTTTGGAGGTAAGAGCTAACAAAAGCTTTGCTTTCTCTAAGGAGCTGGTCCGTGTCTTTCGCGTTAGCTTACCCCCCTCTTCACTTTGCCAAGGGAGCTCAGAGCCAAATGTTTCGTTCAGTCATTCAATTAGGTCCTTACTCTTTGCATATTTCTCTTCAGTCTCTCTGCCTACCCTGACTTTCTATTCTAATTCATATTGGTCCTATCTTGATTATCTACCCGTATTTATATTTTACTACTTTTCTCAGTGTTTGTCACATGCCACCACAAATCCTTTCTAGCATGAGGCCAGGTGTCCATACCCATACATGTAAATAGCTGATGACTTTTAAGGCTTGCTGGAGCCCAGGGACTGCATTTCATGTCTCGCGCATTTCACAGGATTCTTGGTTACAAAGTGAATCATAGAATTATAGTAATCTTGGGGACTGGAGGGGCAGTCTGAGCATGTGCAGAGCTGCCTCTGCCCGAGGCTGGCACCCGGCTGCCTGGGCCTCAGCCGCTCCCAAACCATCACCTCAGCCACAGTGCCCTCGTGGGATGGGGATGGGGGGCCACCATGATGGCAGTGATGGCGGAATAAGTGAAATACGCCTCAGCAGAAGGCAGTGGGGTGGGGAAAATTATAGCAATCTTTAAATTCTATTTATGGGTTAAAAAAATGCAAAAAATCTCCCTGTCATAACATAATTTTAGACCTCCTAGAATTGGGTCACTTTTGCTAAATGCTCAATTCTCAAAATTATATACATATGTTTACATATTATATATTCCATTTAGATTTTTATATATAAGTATTTGTTAATTTTAAAATTAAAATTAGATTTTAAAAACTGCAAACTCATCCCTGCCTTTCCCTACCGATGCCAACTGAATTTTGATGTACCCGGAAACCGCTCCTAAGGAAAGGTTAGAGGCACTAACAAAACCACTCTCTCAAAGCCGTGGGATAGAATTTCAAGAGGTCCTTAACCAGAGCCTGATGTTGAAGCCAGCCAATCAGCCTGCAGCGACTTTATATCACTAGTCTCAAAAGAGGGGCCTCCCTCAGGCTGGGGAGATAGGTCGTCCACAATTTCCTGCTACTGGAAAAGATGCTCAGGCAGTCCATCTACTGACACTTAAGATGCCCCTCACCTTCAAGGGAAAAGAACAAACAAATTATACAATTAACTTCCTTTTCGCCAAGTAAGGACATTTGAAAAATATAAACTGCTACCATCTACTATCCTCATCATTTTGTTGATGAAAGGATTGTTGAAAAAGTAAGAACAATGTAAGCTTACAATAACATCAGTCTGCTAAATATAATAAATTTAAAGATAAGTTCATTACAAAAGGGCATTATCAGCCAAATACATAATGTAAAAACTGAAATAATGGACGAGAGATATAATGCAACAATAATAGTTGGAGACTTCGATGCACCACTTTGAATAACAGATTGGATAACTTTATGGAATATAAACAGAGGAATAGATGGCTTGAACAATACTATTAGCTAATAGATCTAACAGATTTATAGAACACTCCATGCAGCAA